ACCCTGTCACCCATCACACCACTCCACATCACCCTGCCACCCACTACACTACTCCACATAACCACACACTACTACCAGACCACCATGCCTGCCACTACACCACTCCACATCACCATGCCACCCACAACACCACTCCACATCACCATGCCACCCACTATACCACTCCACATCACTCACCACTACCAGACCACCATGCCACTTACCAAACCACTGCACACCACCCTGCCACCTAGCACACTACTCCACACCACCATACCACCCACAACACCACTCCACATCACCATGCCACCCACAGCACCCATCTCCACCCATCCCTCATGACATGCAATAAATTCCCCCCTCATAACTCGTTCAATATCGACAAGAGTAAAACGTATTTAATAGATGAATGTTTTATGAAGGCCGAGTGACACGCAGCCACCTGCTCTTAATGCTCAACCCCTGTATGGTTTAAGTGATTTTTGCTGTATCAGGTTGAGCGGGGAGTAGAGTATGGGGATGGGGGAGTGGGGGGAGTGGGGTGGGATGAGAGGGGATGTAGGGTGAGTAGGATGGAGAGATGAGAAGGGGTTAAGGTGAGTGGGATGGAGAAGATGGGAATGGGGTAGGGTGAGTGGAATTTGAATGATGAGAGGGGGTTGGGAGGGTGGAATGGGGGATGTGAGAGGGGGTAGGGTTAGTAGGATGGGCGAGATGGCTAAGAGGGTAGGGTGAGTGGGATAGGAAAGTTGAGAGGGAGGGAGGAGTAGGATGGGGAGATGAGGGGTAGGGAGAGTAGGGAAGGGGGGAGATGAGAGGGGGGGGGTGGGGAGGGGAGGGGGGAAATAAGAGGGGGGTGGGAGAGTGGAGAGAGTGTTGGGAAAGATGGGGTATGGGGAGAGGTGTGTGTGTGTGTGTGTGTGTGTGTGTGTGTGTGTGTGTGTGTGTGTGTGTGTGTGTGTGTGTGTGTGTGTGGGTGTGTGTGTGTGTGTGTGTGTTCAGGGAGAGAGGAAGAATGTGGCAAGGAGAGGTCTGTTTAGGGAGGAGGAGGTGTAGAGAAAGGGGAGAGGGAGGTTAAGGAGTGAGAGTAGGTGGAGTGGGGTAGGGGTGGGGAGGGTTTTGGGTGGGAGATGTTGGGGTGGGGAGAGTGAGTGTTGGGGTGGGGAGGGTGTTAAGTGGGAGAGGGGTGTGGGGAGGGAGTTTTAGGGGTGGGGAGAGGGGTGTTAGGGGTGGGGGAGAGGGGTGTTAGGGGTGGGGAGAGGGGTGTTAGGGTGGGAAAAGGAGGTTGGGGTGGGGAGATGGGTGTTAGGGTGGGGAGAGGGAGAATAATAGGTGGGGGAGAGGAGTGTGCAAGATTGACAGGTGTGTTGTATGTCTGTCCAAATTGGTTAGTAGGGATTTGAGGTGTTTCCAGCCTATTTATACTATTCCACTAATTTTTTCCACAAAAATGGTTAAAAGGTGAGTGTAGGAGGCGGTTCAGAATGGTCATGTCAGCTGAAAATTAATATTTTTTTCTGCGTGTGTTTTCGATATTGAATTTTTTCCTTTGAAAAATATTTTGATCTTTTTATAATTGTAGTCTGGAATATTATTATTATTATTATTATTATTATTATTATTATTATTATTATTATTATTATTATTATTATTATTATTATTATTATTATTATTATTATTATTACTATTATTATTATTGTTGTTGTTCGTTTTATCACTAGAAAAATCCGTATTTTTATAACGTGAAAATAATTCCAGGCATAAAAAATATTTTGTGCATAAAAAATAGGTAATATTATTGGAACCTGATAACAGATTTAATGTGTATTATTCTTCCTCATTATTTTGAGTATTTTTTCATATATATATATTAAACATGAGATAGTTAGCCTCATTTCAATCTATTATATGGTTAAAATGGGGATTAAATTGCCCTATTTTACTATTTCATCACCGTAGATATAATATTTCCTCTTATATCCTAACCAGTTAAATGTAATACACTTTTCCCTCTTTGTATACACGGAGTCCTGCATATTGTATGAACCAATTAGGTGTTGTTACTGAGAACTGAATTAACCAATTCAATTAACCGGCCGCTTTTTTGGGGGTGGGGTTAATCTTTGATAAATATTGTATGTCTATATTGACGAATCTAATGTAATTCACCTGACTTTATGTTTTAGGCATAATGAGAGAGATCAGGGGGAAATAGAGGGAGAGATGTTCAGCTTCGAAAATTTTTTCACTAAGATGTAAGTTGTGTAAATGAGAGACGCATAGATGAGAGACACATAGATGAGAGACGCATGGATGAGAGACGCATAGATGAGAGGCACATAGATGACAGACGCATAGAAGAGACACATAGATGAGAAACACATAGATGAGACGCATAGATGAGACACGCATAGATGAGAGATGCATAGATGAGGGACGCATAGATGAGAGACACACAAGCTGTTAAGAGTTGAGACACACAAGAAAATTACAAAGACAAACAGAAGTATTGTACACAGTTTGTGACTAACAAACAAAACAATCATGCTAGTGAAAAAACAAACACAATATATCAATAAAAAAGTTATGTCCAGCAAAGTGATTTATTTAGTAATGAACAAACAGTCATAAAGATGTGCACACTAACTTATAAAAACTTACATGCGCTATCATGATAGTGCACAGGTGTTGTAATTGAAAAGGGTGTGCACATGGGGGCTTGAGAGAAGACACACACATATGAAGCTTTCACATACGCACATAAAAGTTTCAGATACATTGGAGTAAACATGGGAGAGCACACACACGCGTATGAAGGTTCCATATATATACACGGGAATTAAAAAAATATACACATGAGTGGTGTACACGTGGGGGGGGTGTGGGTGTCTGAGTGTGCTCCTCCCACGATCAGTACCACACACCTGCCTACTTATCATACAACCTAAGGGGGGTGGGGGGGACGTTCTTGTCTCACAAATTTGCTTAGCTTTTTCTCAGAAGTATATGAAGCGGTAGATAATGATAAGTCATATGATATAATTTATTTAGATTTCAGTAAAGCATTCGATAGAGTCCCTCATGAGAGATTGATAAGGAAGGTAGAAGCACATGGAATAGGTGGATCATTATTAAAATGGATTAGGTCATGGTTAACTGGTAGGAAACAAAGACTCAGCATAAATGGATTAAAGTCAGACTGGGGTGCGGTCAAAAGCGGAGTTCCCCAGGGATCTGTATTAGGCCCTCCTCGCCGTTTGTTATATTCATTGTGATCTTGATTTAGGCCTCAACTAGTGGATTAGTAAATTTGCAGATGATACCAAGAATGGAAGTGATAAATTCAGACCAATTGACTTTGAACACCTTCAAAGATCTAGATACCTATACATGAGTGGTCAGTAGACTGGCAAATGAATTTTAATATGACAAGTAAAGGTACTACAGATGGGGGAAGACGAATACAAACGTTAAGTATAAACTAGGTAACACGGAAATAGATAACTCAGTTTGTGAAAAAGATCTAGGTGTATTTGTTAGCAACGACTTGAAACCTAGAAAACAATGTATTAGCGTTCGCAACAAGGCAAACAGGATTCTTGGGTTCATATCTAGGTCTGTGAGTAACAGAACTGCTGACGTTATCTTGAAATTTTACCTAGCATTAGTGAGGCCACACATGGATTATGCGGTTCAGTTCTGGTGTCCTTATTATAGAATGGACATAGATTCTTTGGAGAGAGAGTACAAAGAAGAATGACAAAATGATCCATAATATTAGAAACCTTCCATATGAGAAGAAAGACTGAAAAAGCTTAGGCTTACATTCATTAGAGGCGTAGAGTTGGGGGAGATATGATAGGGTGTACAGAAATTGAATTGAAAGTGGGATTAACAGGGTAAAATGGAAGATGTTCTGAAGCTCAGTAATAACAGAAATAACTAGAACAAATATGGCTTGAACTTAGATAAATTCGATTCAAGAAAGGATATAAACCAAAGCACTGGTTTGGTAATAGAGTTGTGGATATGTGGAATAGGCTACCGAGTGCTATAGTAGGATCGGGGACGCTAGGGAGCTTCAAGACGAAGTTGGATAGGCACATGGAAGTGCTGGGATGGGTGTGAAAGGGATCTGCCCTGTATGGGCCAGTCGGCCTCCTGCAGTATCCCACTTTCTTATGTTCTTATGTTCTCATGCCTACCTGCCCTCCTTCCCGACATTACTGGCCCCCTCCCTTCCTCTATCCCTCCCTTATTTCCTCCCTTCTTCCATCCCTCACCTTTTCCTCCCCTCCCTCCCTCCCTCCCTCCCTCCCTCCCTCTTTCACTTCCTCCCTCCCCATTTTTTCCATCCCTTCCTCTCTCCGTCATTCTCTTCCTTCCCTACTTCCCTCTCTACCTCATTTGCTTCCTCCCTCTTTCCTTCCTTCCATTCCTTATTCACTCCCTCCCACCTTTCCTCTTTCTTTCTTTTTTATTCCAAGATTTGCATATTGATACATAGTTTACTTTCGCTGTTGTTCGTATCAGTCAAGCTGTCGGGAGGTGATAGCTTTCAAGATGGTCCCAGTCAGCCTTTCCATTTAAAGATATATTTTGTCCTTCCAGTTTTTCGAGGATAGTATTAATTTTAATGGTGGATTAGACAGAAATCTAAACCCGATTACCAGTTTGTTTAGTTAGATTAGGTTACGTTGGGATGGATTTCGTTAGGTTAGGTTATGTTATGCTAGGTTAGGATAGGTTAATTTTGTTAGGTTAGGCTAGGTTAGGTTATGTTTGGTTATGTTTGGTTAGGTTTGGGTAGGTTAAGTTAGGTTTGGGTAGGTTAGGTTAGGTTTGGGTAAGATAAGTTAGTTAGGTTTGGTTAGGTTAGGGTTTGGGTAAGTTATGTTAGTTAGGTTTGGTTAGGTTAGGTTAGGTTAAGTTAGGTTAATGAGGAGGTGAATGGTTTTGGTTAGGTCAGGTAAGGATGTTAGGTTTGGTCAGGCTCGCGTGTACCTATTTTACCACAATCAATGGGGGATGTCTCAGGTGAGTAGTGGTAAGGTACAGTACTTCATAAGGGGGGTGGAATGTGGCCATAGTGAGTAAAATGGAGATGGTAAAAGGCAAATTATTTATTGATTTATTTTGACAATAGCCCAAAAGAACATCTGCGTGTCTGTGTGTGGGTGACTGTTAGCGTGTGAGTGCGTTGAAGTGTGTGTGTGTGTGTGTGTGTGTGTGTGTATGTGGCAATAGGTGCAAAGTGGGTGCGGTGGGCTAGTATATATGGTGATGGGCGTACACGGGCGGGGTGGACAGGTGACGGCCACACTAACGTTGATACACGAGCACAGGAACCTATAACTCTGGGAGGGGAAGAACAGGGTGAGGGATGATCCTGGGGGAGGCTTGTGTGTGTGTGTATATATATATATATATATATATATATATATATATATATATATATATATATATATATATATATATATATATATATATATATATATATATATATATATATATGATGATGTAGATGCACAATGGAAACGTGACGATAAATCTTGATAAAACCAGACAGGATAAGAGAAAGAAGAACCAAACCCAACACAGCTGTTGTGTCTGGCGGAATGTTGGTGTAAGTTGGTGTGTGATGTTAGATTTTCTTTGTTGTGTGTGTTAGTAAGTGGCTGAGGATATATGAGGTGGGGGGCGGTAGAGTGATAGTGGGGGTCAAGTGGAGTGGGGTTAGGTGGAGGGGTGATGGTGGGTGTGGGTGGAGGAGTGATGGCGGGTGGGGGTGGAGGGGTGATGGTGGGTGTGGGTGGAGAGGTGATGGAAGTTGAGTATGTATTGATGATGGTGGTGTGGAATGAAACCACTATAGAGTCTCACCTAGGTTACCGAAACAAACATCAAGCGGCCGGACGTCGAGTTTTCCAGCGACCACCTACTGTAAAGCAAGCTGGACCTTACCGTCTCCTGGAGTGACCTTAGTCTCGTGGTTCTCAACCGTGTGACCAAAACAAGTTTTTAGTGTGACCAAAAAATATGGTGTGACCAAAAAGTACAGTGAACTGCAAATAATTATGAAAAAAATTGTAAAGATAAAAGTCCTACAAAAAATAATGCATCAACGTATTAACTGGTGAGGAAACAAGTGCGACAGGAATTGGTCACATCCACTCGTGGGGACACTGTTTATGAGGAGGCAGCGGGGGTTCTTCCCAGTTCTACGCTGGCATTTGTGTTAAGCTGACCTGCCCAGTCCAGTGGTTGAAATCATTTCCTGCAATCCCCTGTAACTACTGATCAAGTAATTGATTAAGGTTACTCGTGATAAACTTATACAGAAATTGTGCATGGCAATTATGTATTGTGTATTTTTATACAAGAAAAATATTATCACACGCAGTGTTACTGAATCATCGGTGATGTAGTTACTATGAATTTTACTATATTATTGCAAATATCCGAGAGATGTAGAGATGATTAATTGATTATACATAGATCCCATAGATAGAAGATTACTTTAGTCAGAATCGCAATGACGGTCGTAACAGTAATGGGAATGGCACTGGCGAAGACGATAGTTGCATGCATAATGACCATAGTCATTGGTTCATAGTTGAAAAAAAGACTGTGTTCACAGGGTTGGGTATGCAGTTTTGAGATGCAGATTTCAAATGTGTTTCACTAATTTATCAATATACCAATACGTTGTTTTTCTTGCTACAGGTACATAGAATGAGGACAAATTAAATGAAAATACAGTATACAGTTAAAAATGGATAAGTACGTCATCAGAAACGGGAAGAGGAATAGAGATGATACAGACACTACCAACTCTGATGATTTAATACCCAATTCTGAGAACTTGAAACGAAATTTGACAATTTCATCCCATAGCTTTGAAGAACGTCACAGTAGTACAGCATCGGAGCTCAGTGCACTCTTAGTTTGAGCCTCTCTGCGTATTGCTTACCTTCTAGGGACAAAAAAGAAACCATTCACAGAAGCAGAGGAGATAATTGTTCCAGCCATGTGTATTGTTTCAGAAGAATTTTTGGAACAGTCTGCCAAAGCCAAGATAGAAAATATTCTATTGTCGAACAGTACTGTTGAAAGGAGAAGTCGATTGCTGTCTGAAGATTTGCTTCATCAAGTCGTCGAAAAACTACGTACTAGTCATTGGTATGGACTACAGTTCGATGAGTCGACTGATATTAGCAACAGCGTTCAAGTGATGGATTTGTTAGAATGGTAGGTGTTGAGAAGGGAAGTATTAATGAGGATTTCCTCTTTTGTTAAGACATTGGAGTAGAAACTACAGGAAATGCGATTGGGACTGCCACACTGAATCTCTTACAGTCATGATATTCCTCTTGAAAGGTGTTCCAGTGTTACGACGGATGGGGCTGCAGCGATGGTTAGTGTCAGAAATGGGTCAGCAGCAATGATCAAGGAACACGCTCCTGACTGTGCGAGTTCACACTGTGACCTGTACAGACAGATTCTAGCAAGTAAGAAACTGTCACATGACAACGTAAACCGCCCGTTTGACGAAGTCATGGAGCAATCGGTGAAAATTATCAACTCGATTAAATCGAAAGCCAAACATTCAGGGATGTTTCAGCAACTATGTGAGGACATTGAAGAATGTGATAGGACTCTTTTGTACTATTGTGAAGTTCGTTGGTTGTCACGGGGCACTGCATTAAGGAGGCTATTTGATCTGCAGAAATGTGTGTATGAGTTTCTCTATGAAATTGATTGTCCCAAAGCAGTTCATTTCCACAATGATTTGTGGATCTCAAAACTTGGGTTTCTTGCTGATATGTTTGAAAAGTTAAATGTATTGAATGTGAGCCTTCAAGGAAAGGATATGTATGTATTTTCAACATCAGATAAAATAGAAGTATTCGAAATGAAATTATCATTATGGAAGAGACGAGTTGAAGGGAACGATCTGTCTGCCTTCAGTCAACTGCCAATAGCCCTAACAGAGGGTTCTGATGAAAATTTTGAACATCAAAGGAGGCAACTGATCCTTGAACACTTGGGGGGTCTTAAGAGAAAACTTTGAGAGGTATTTTCCAAAAAGATCTGAGGAAAACATAAAGAAACAGAACAGGATCATTCATCCTTTCCTTCAAGCGAATGTGATAAGATGTGGTCTGCCAAATTTGGAAGGAGAGAAACTCCTTGAAGTTCACTGTGATGCAAAAATGAAATCATTGTTCAAAATGAAATCACGTTCAGAGTTTTGGGCCACAGTTTATAAAGATCAGTACTACCAGAGTTTGGCATCATTGGCCCTTAAAGTCCTTGTTGGTTTTCATCGTACATATCTGTTAGAGCGAGCCTTCTCAAACCTTTTGAACATAAAATTATAAAAAGTGCGCAAATTTACCACCAATCAATATTCATGCTTGTGTAAGGCTCGCTGTGACAAAAACTGCTGAGCCCAAATTTAATGTACTTTAAAGGAAAATGCAGCAGCAGAAATCCCATTAAATTAGAATAGGTCATTAGGTAATAAAATCAATCAGTGTGTTGTGATTACATCTGCAAATCTGTCTTCAGTTATTTTTTTGTAGAAAAGCTGTAATTTGTTAGAAATTACAAAAGTATACGCATTTGTTTCCCATTATGGATTAACACTTAGCTGTTAGAATATAAAATTTAATCTTCATTATGACACTTATGTTTAAAATCTCTTCAATAGTAACGTGGTTATAGCAATGAAATTAAAGAGTAGCGAACTATCGATTCCTTCTTTACATTACTGAATTTTTTTTTAATTATTATGGAAGCTATGAAAGTTCATATATATGATTCCTACTATTTTATGCAAGGTTTCATTGTTTGGATAATAGCGAATTATATGATGATCACTGGAAAGTAAATAAAGTAACAATATTAACTTCCTTAACATTATAGTTTCCTTGGAATCCTTGGGAATATTTGTAAAGATGGATAATAGGATTCACAGTGCTCTTAGGTAAAGTGTGACCCAAATTTTCCTAAAAGTTAAAAGTCTGACCAAGATTTAAAAATGTTGAGAACCACTGAGTCTTAGACCTCCTGCCTCGAACTGTATGGATAAATGAATGTTTTCTGTGTAGATCTTTCTAAACGCTCACTTAAAATCTTTGTTTAAGGTTAGGTTAGGTTAGGTTAGGTTACATGACTTGTAAGATAGTGTAAAAATGGGACAAAATGAAAGTAAAAGAAATGTAAACAATGATGGAAGACAGAGAGAAAAATAGAGAAAAGTAGAGTGAGAGAGATAAAGAGAGAAAAAATAATTAAAGAGGGAAATAAAGTGAGCGATACAGAACAATATAAAAATCTTAATTCCAAAAGGTCCTCTCAAGTCAGAACTTTTCACTTGTCGTCCAGGAGCGATGAACCTTCCAGCATCAGCCGTCCGCCCTTCCCCCTCCATACACAACCCACCACATCATTAGCTCTGTCAAGGAGGGACATGTAAAGCCCTTATCCCCCCTCTCAGACATGTTATCAAACAGCTTAAAAAACAGAAGAACACAGTACTATAACAGGAACGACAAATCTCTTCGTAGAAATGATTTGTTTTGGCTGCTTCACCATTATCGACTGGCAGTTTTTACTATATTTTTGTACTCGTATGGAAGCCTGAGGGTAACACGGGATCCGTCGTTCTTATTCGGGGTTCTGAGGCGGTTGTCAGGTGAGTCGGCGGTCAACTTTCCTTACTGGATGATCTCAACTTGGATGGTCCTCAGACTTTTGCGGGGGTCGAGTACTTCACCGCCAGTAACTGTCGGATATCTCCTTCTGGAAAAACTTGATAAATTGATTTGTAAAGTGTTTTTAAACCTATGAAGGAGTGCTCAGATTAATTTTCTGTGATTCATAACACAACACAACACGACATGCCATACTATTATAATTATCAACTCTAAATCTCGCTGCTGGATCTAGAAAGAGACAAATAAACACAAAGTTGGGTGAAGGAGACCCACAAAACATCTTCTTAGTTGACAACAATAATACTCTCGACAAACTTAACATCTTATTTGCCTGACAATAGAATTGTATATAATATTGTTTTAATCAGTTTTAATCTCGGCCGCCCCCTCCACCCTTGTTACTGTAAATTTCTCTCATTTTAATATTCCACGACCTTCTTTACCGTCAGTACACCTTAGCTTAAACCTAAGCCTTTCGAATTTGAAACTTGAGACTGTGTCAACCTTTCCCAGAACTGGTCTCTGCGGAAAATAGCAAGAATGTGTCATTTTATACTGTACCTCCTGGAGAATGAATGAGTGTTGTGACTCTGTCGCTCCTTCCTAGAAGAGGATAAATCCAAAGGATATTACCAGCTGCTGACGTCAGTAAGCCTCAGCGATAAACAACTTGATCACGAAATAATTTCGCAATAACAAGATCAGACATGTTAGTCTGAGCCGCAGTACATTGACCCAGCGAGAGAATGGCACCTGTGTTATATCTGTATTACACCTGTGTTACACCTGTGTTAACATGTGTTACATCTGCGTTAGACCTGTGTTACACCTCTGTTAGCGTTCTAATACGTGCGCTACAACTGTGTTACACCTGTATTAATTGTTAAGGCCAGGTAACACAACACACAAACAATTCATTAATTTGGCAGACGAAGCAGGAGTGTGATACAGTGGACGACAAATAAGTTACTATTCATACTCACACAAAACAACAACAGAAACAACAACGAAAAAGAAAAAATACAAGCCAGTCACAAAAGAAAATGATAATGATAGTGGCAGTGTCCTTAACAGGGAAGCTCTACTATTATTACCAGACTATATTTACAAGAATCCCCACATCAACCCTTTCATTCACACCTGTAAATCACCTGACCAAAATCCATTATCAAATTAGTGTTGTTATGCATTACTTTACACTATGTTATTTAGTCTCACATAAGAATGATGAAGATTAAAAACAAGATTATTATTTTATTGTTATTTTCTACGTGTGTTTGTTCTTTGTTTTCTATTTATCTTTTATTCGTTGATATCTAATTCATATATTTTTGTATTTGCTGATTTGTTTGTTTTCTGTTGTTCTATTTATTTGTTTCTTATTTTTAACTTATTCCTCTGTTTATTTACGTATCTATATATCTATTTATCTGTCCATTTATTTATATATGTATTTACGTAATCATTCATTTATCTATATTTTCATGTGTATGTCCATTGACCAATATATTACAAAGGTGAATCACAATAGTTTACACGCCTGCAATATATCAGGTGTGCTGGGGGACTTACTGAATTCCAATACTGTACACGAACACACACTACTACTACTACTACTACTACTACTACTACTACTACTACTACTACTACTACTTTGCTGAGACTCGGAATCGAGTATGACGATCATCCAGTTGTGATACAATGATACGCGTTATTAAGGGTGTCACCTTCGTTGGTGAGCTCTGAGGTGACTCGAGGGGTCGATACGGAACCGGCAGGGTCGTCCACAGATGTGGCACGTATGGAGAGCTACATCTAGTGCGGGAGGGGTGGCAGCAGCGTCTTTCCGGAGGTGGCACTTGTCTGCCTCGGTATGCAGTCGGTCTAAATCGAAAGTATTGACACCTTCTCGTATAGTGCTCCTTCAAGGTTTGTCTTAAGACTGTCCTTATAACTTTTCCGTTACCTACCAGCTGTACGTTTACCATTCATTAGGTGACTATAAAACACCTGCTTTGGCAGTCTACTGTCGTCCATGCGGGTAACATGGCCAGTCTAACGTAGTTGTTCATGGATAATGGTAGCTTTGATGCACCTAGTCCTACAGTTGGTGTCAGCGAGAATACTGGCAATTGATCTCTTGTTTTCCCAGCGAATTCGAAAGATGGGACGTAACTACGTTAGTGAAAGCTTTCAAATGCCTTGAGGCGCCTCCTGTATGTGACCCATGTCTCGCTGCCATATTGCAGGGTGGGGAGGACCATTGCTCGATGTACGAGCAGCTTTGTAGATAAATTTAGCTTGATATGCTCATCTAATGCGATGTTGAATCTCTTCATCGATTCTGCATTGGTGGGAAGGTATGAGCCGAGATACTGAAAGTGGGTAACATTAGAGAGGGTAGTAGCGTTCAGCTAGATGGATGGCGGAGGTGTGGTTGAACTAGGAGCAGGCTGAAAGGTAATCTGAGTCTTACGTACATTAACCTGAAAGCCGAAGTGTGCATATGAAACGCAAAAACTTCCAGATCGAACAAGTGGCGAGAATTTTTCAATTCAAATTCAGCATTTTATGGGTCAATCACTCATAGAGCAGCTCTCCTTTCACTCATCCGACGATAACTCCTTAATTAAAGACAAAGAAGGCATCCTTCAGCGCTGGAAAGAGCACTACTATTCGCTGCTCAACTGAAACACCGATGTCGATGTTCTGACTACTCAACAGGTCCCTCAGCACTCAGAGTTGAACCACCTCAGCTATTCTCCATCCCTGGATGAGGTAGCTACTGCCATTAAACAGATGAAAAATAACAAAGCCACGGGTCCTGATGGAATACCAGGAGGACCTCTACTTACCAGCCGTCTCCAATCTCTCCTGGAGACTATATGGGAAAGGGAGGAGATCCAGTAAGCTCTTAAGGACGCCTCCATCGTCAATATTTATAAGAACAAGGTAGACCTGTCAGACTGTGGCAACTACATCGGGATCTTGCTGCTGTCTGTAGCTGGCAAGATTATCGCCTGAGTCCTCCTAAACAGACTCCTTCCTTAGGTAGAAAACTTCCTCCCAGAATCTCAGTGTGGCTTTAGACCATCACGTGTACCACTGACATGATCTTTGCTGCCCGCCAGATACAGGAAAAGTGCAGAGAACAGCGTAGTGACCTGTAGATGACCTTCATCGACCTAACCAAGGACTTCGACTCGGTCAACAGGGAAGCCCATAGCCGTTTTGGCTGCCCACCTAAATTCATCGCCATTATGACGCAACTCCACGATGGCATGAACTGGTACCAAGTCTCTTTTCCATTTTCTTGGCTGCCTTCCTTACTCGTGCAAGTGCCAATTTA